GTGTGTGTGTGTGTGTGTGTGTGTGTGTGTGTGTGTGTGTGTGTGTGTTAAGTATTTATATTAATGATTTGGGGTTGGAGAAATGACTCAGCGGTTAAAAGCACTGGCTGCTCTTCCAGAGGACCCAAGTTTAATTCCCAGCAACTACATAGCTGCTCACAGCTGTCTGTAACTCTAGGATCTGACAACCTTACACAGACATACATGCAGGCAAAGTATCAATTAGAAAGAAAAAGATAGTATTTTTATATTTTTTACTCTGTGTGTACTGGCGTTTTGTCTGCATGTGTCTTTGTGTGAAGGTTCAGATACTGGGTTTATAGGAGCTGCCATGTGGGTGCTGGGATTTGAACCCCAGTCCTCTGGAAGAGCAGTCAGCGCTCTTAACTGCTGAGCTGTCTCTCTAGCCCCAGGGTTTTTGGTTTGTTTTTCTTTTATATAGATAGCTTATTGGGTGTGGTGGTGCACATCTTTCATCCCAGCACTGAGGGGCAGGGGCAGGAGGATCTCTGTGAGTTCAAAGCTATCCTGGTCTACATAGCAAGTTTCAGGCCAACCAAGAATACCACATAGAGAACCTGCCACAAACAAACAAATAAATAATAAAATAGCATAAATAAAATAAAAAGACAGTTGCCTATTTTTGTTAACTGGGCAATAGTGGTACATGCCTTTAATCCCAGCACTCAGGAAGCAGAGGTAGGCAGATCTCTGTGAGTTCAAGGCCAGCCTAATCCTAGATAGAAAATACTAGAATGTGCACAGTATATTTGTTTGGGGCAGGTTTGTGTTTGGCTGCTTTTGCACTGTGGGGGATTAAATTGCCCGCCTGCCACATGCTAGGCCAGCATTCTGACCCAGCCCAGCTCCGTACCATGTGCTGTTGGAGTTCAAGGAAGCAGTCTCTGTTCATGGATGACGAAGACAGATTCTTAGTGTTCAATCCCTTCTGGATTGGGGCTTGACATGTAGGTGACTGAACAAGTCTGCACCAATGCCTGACTGCACTCCATTTCCATGTGTCTGAGTCAGATGTCTGAGCCAGGCTGCTGTCAGGTGCTGTGCTGACGCCTGTCCAGACCTGCATTCTCTGTCGTGTGGGTGGTAAAAATACCCGAGTTCACACTACTGGCAGCATTGGAGACTCACAGTCGAGAGCTGGCTTCTAAGAACTGTGAAGACATCCATGGTTTGAAGGAGTGGACCCAGGGGAGATCTCCATAAAGACCCTTTCTGCACTAGCGAGTCTCTCTGTTCTGTATCTGTGATGCTGGGCATCACACCCGGCCTCTATGCTCGGCAGACACCCCACCTGAGCTATTCTTCAACCCTGAAATCCTCTTTTTTCTCTTTGTTGTTTTGGGCAGGGTGATCCAGGTTGTCCTCAGACTCATGCCAGGCTTCCATATATCTCAGTCTCCTGAGTGTGAGTCACTATGCCTGGCTTCTGAAATGAGAAACTACTAAGTTCCAGTTTTTAAAGCTGGTAAGTGATGCCCAGCAAAATCCTTCAAAGACCTTGAAAGAGCAGTACTCAACTTCATTTGGAAAAGCAAAAAACCCAGGATAGCCAAAACAATCCTGGGCAATAAAAGAACTTCTGGAGGCATCACAATCCCTGGCTTCAAACTCTACTACAGAGCTACAGTACTGAAAACATCCTGGTACTGGCATAAGATCAGACAGGAGGACCAATGGAACTGAATAGAAGACCCAGATATCAATCCACACATCTTCGAACACCTGATCTTTGATAAAGAAGCAAAAAATATCAAATGGAAAAAAGAAAGCATATTTAACAAGTGGTGCTGGATATCAACATGTAGAAGCATGAAAATAGACCCATATCTATCACCATGCACAAAACTCAAGTCCAAATGGATCAAAGACCTCAACATACAGCCAGCTACACTGAACCTCACAGAAGAGAAAGTGGGAAGTACACTTGAACGCATTGGCACAGGGAACCACTTCCTAAATAGAACCCCAGCAACAAAGACACTGAGAGAAACAATTAATAAATGGGACCTCCTGAAACTGAAAAGCTTCTTTAAAGCAAAGGACACGGTCAACAAGACAAAACGACAGCCTACAGAATGGGAAAAGATCTTCACTAACCCCACATAAAGGCAGAGGTCTGATCTCCAAAATATACAAAGAACTGAAGAAATTGGATACCAAAAGATCACATAATCCAATAAAAAAATGGAATACAGACCTAAACAGAGAATTATCAACAGAGGAATCTAAAATGGCTGAAAGACATGTAAGAAAATGTTCAACATCCTTAGTCATCAGAGAAATCCAAATCAAAACAACTCTGAAATTCCATCTTACACCCGTAAGAATGACCAAGATCAAAACACTGATGACAATTTATGCTGGAGAGGTTGTGGGGAAAAGGGAACACTTCTGCATTGCTGGTGGGAATGCAAGCTGATACAACCTGTTTGGATGTCAGTGTGGCAATTTCTCAGAAAATTAGGAAACAACCTTCCTCAAGACCTAGCAATACCACTTTTGGGTATATATCCAAAGGATGCTCAATCGTGCCACAAGGACATGTGCTCAACTATGCTCATAGCAGCTTTGTTTGTCATAGCCAGAACCTGGAAACAACCTAAATGCCCCTCGACTGAAGAATGGATAAGAAAAATGTGGTACATTTACACAATGGAGTACTACACAGCAGAAAAAAATAACGACAGCTTGAATTTTGCAGGAAAATGGATGGAGCTAGAAAACATTATTTTGAGTGAGGTAACCCAGACACAGAAAGACAATTATCACATGTACTCACTCATAGGTGTTTTTAAACATAACGCAAAGAAAGCCAGCCTACAAACCACAGTCCCAGAGAACTTAGACAACAATGCGGACACTAAGAGAGACTTCCATAGATCTAATCTACATGCGAAGTAGAAAGTAGAAAAAGACAAAATCTCCTGAGTAAATTGGGAGCATGGGGACCTTGGGGGAGGGTTGAAGGGGTAGGGGAGAGGCAGGGAGGGGAGCAGAGAAAAATGTAGAGCTCAATAAATATCAGTAAAAAAAAAAAAGGTAAATTAAGGATTGTTTCTATATTTAATATTTGTTTGAGTTTGTTTGCTTGCTTGAGATAAAAATCTCATCATGTAGCCCTAGCTGGCCTGAAACTAGATCAGGCTGGCCTCAAGCTTCCAGAGATCTGCTCACCTCTGCCTCCCAAGTGCTGCTGGAATTGATGGCATGACCCACCACACCTGGCCTGCCTCTGCTTGTGGTAGAACGATGGCTGACCCACTTTAGATAGGCTCTGTCCAGTGGACACATACCCTGTTAACAGGCAACAGTGTATTTTGAATTACACCAGACTTCGCAAGAATACATCCACGTCGTTCTGGAAAACACCTTTCTACTATTCCCAGCCTCTTCTGACAGAGAGAGTTGTGTTGTTGCTCAATGCACAAAATGCAGCTGTCACAGTTGGAGGTGGCTCAGGTTGTGCGCCTCTAGCGTGCATGAAACCTGGTTCTCACCACACTAATAGAGGATCTTGCCTATAACCCCAGCATTTGGGAGGTGAAGGCAGGAGGGTTAGAGTTCAAGGTTATCTCAACTCCAGAGGGAGTTAAGAGCAGCCTGGGCTATCTGAGTATCTGACTGAAAAAGGGAAGAAAAGTTCTTTGTGTTTTCAGAATCACACGTCGAGGGCCTGGGGAGGTGGCTCTGGAGTGAAGAGCACTGTTGGGATTGCAGAGAAAACCAGGCCTGAAGGTTCCCAGTGCCCGTGTGGTGGCTCACACAGTAGCTCTAGCTGTGGGCCGGGCCGGGGGACCTGATGCCTCTTCTGACCTCTGCAGGCACTAGGCATGTGTGTGGTTCAAAGACATGTAGGCAAATATTCATATGCATAAAAATAAAGTAAATAAGGCTTTAAAATATTTTGATCATAGATTGATTTGTAGTTTCAATGTTAGATCATTTCCGTTACAAATTTTTGACTTCTTGAAGAAACGTGCATATGGGCTGGAGAGATGGCTCTGTGGTTGGGAGCATTGGCTGCTCTTCCAGAGGTCGCGAGTTCAATTGCCAGCAGCCACCTGGTGGCTCACAATTATCTATAATGCCCTCTTCTGGCATACTTGCAGGCAGAACGCTGTAGACATAATAAATAAGTAAATCTTTAGCTGGGTGCTGATAGTGCACACCATTAATCTTAGCACTCGGGATCTCTGTGAGTTCGAGGTCAGCCTGGTCTACAGAATGAGTTCTAGGACTGGCTCCAAAGCTGCACAGAGAAACCCTGTCTTGAAAAACAAAACAACAAAGAAAAAAGAAAGTGAAAATGGCCGTGTTGGTGCGCTCTCTCTATTACTCCATCACACTGTTAGTTTTTGCTATGACGTGCCTCTAGAGTGGAAGCCGCCATGTTGACGTGCTCTCCCCATTACTCCCATCACAGTGTTCATTTCTGACATGACATGTCACTGGGACAACTGTGTGTGGATGGTTTGTGGGTGCTGTAGGCTTCTGAACTCTGCTGCAGTCTTTTGTACACAGACAGCCAAGGCATGTCAGTTAAGGCTCATGCTATCATGTACCGTGCTTACACCCCAGCCTGGTCCTTGCTGTCCCTCTGTCACCCACCTTGTTTCCTGGCTCAGCATGTTTTTGGTGTAGCTGTTTGCGGGCTCTTCAGCACTGAGAAAGACGAGAGCTATGAAGGGCCCTCTTCCTCCTCAAGTGTGTCTTGCTGTGACCACGCCGTGTGTGGCATACAGGATAGACCTGAGTCCTCCCAGGCTGCACAGTCATGATGCTTGGTGTGTGTGTGTGTGTGTGTGTGTGTGTGTGTGTGTGTGTGTGTGTGCACATGCCAGAAGAGGGCATTGGATCCCCTGGAGCTGTCGTTACAGGCAGTTGTGAGTCAACCTGGCATGGGTGTGGGGGCGCAGATGTGGGTCCTCTGGAAGAGCAGTGTGTGCCACTGTGTTCATTCTTCCTTCTCTGTCTTTCAGGCTGGAGTGAAAGGGACACTGGGAAGACTGGTTGGAATTTTTGAGGTAAGTCTTTAATACCTTTGCTCTAGAGTCATTCAGAGCCACGCTGTCCTGACTTTGGAAAGGGCCTTCTGCGGCTCGTGAGTGTCCGAGCAGGCAGCACAGCACATGAGTATTCTCTGCTTTTTACTTTTCCTGTCTGTTTGTGGATGCGTGTGTACTGTCCTGGAGGCCTGAGGACGACCTCCTGTGTCATTCCTTAGGAGACAGCTAGCGTTTTTGCCATTATTGTTTCATTGTTTTGTTTTGTTTTGTTTTGTTTTGTTTTGTTTTGTTTTGTTTGAGAAAGGGTCTCTCACTGGCATGGAACGCAACAGATAGTCTGGGATGAGCCAGGGAACCCCTGTTCCCACCTTCCCAGGCTGAGATCACAGGCTTAACCTCTATGCCCAGCTTCTTTTATGGGTTCTGGATTAAACTCAGGCCCTAGCATGAACAGAGTACTGTTTCTCCCCCTCTTGCTGGTCCTCCTTTTCTTCCATGGTGAGAGGAAAAGTAGAGAAGATGGGGAAACTGGATGTGGAAGGAGTTATCAGGAAGTGAGGAATGGGAACAGAAAGGAGCAGGGTCTGTACAGTCGGGAGAGAGGATGCAGGCCTCATGCAGCTCCTTTGCACAATGGCCCTGCGTACCACAGTCTCTTCAGTTCCTTTTCCCAAGTCACAACATTCCTGCGAAGCTGTGTGACACAGGCTGGACAGATGGCTCAGCTAGCTATTAAGAGTGCCTGCCAGCCAGGCATGCTGCTACACACCTTTAATCCCAGCACTCATGAAGCAGAGGCTTCATGACCAGTGAGTTCAAGTGTCCATGTGAGTTCAAGACCAGTCTGCTGGTGTACATAGTAAATTCCAGGATAGCCAGGACTGTAGAGAGACTCTATCTCAAAAAAGGGGGGGGGGGCGGGGAGAAAGAAGTGCTTGTTAGTTGGGTATGGTGGTATACCTTTTAATCTCCACACACCCCAGGGAGACAGAGGCAAGTGGAACTCTGTGAGTTCAAGGCCAACCTGTATTGTGTGTGTGTGTGGGGGTGTTCCTGTCTGCCTGGTTCCCCAGCCACTTAGTCCCAGAGAAAATCACACAGAGAGTCTACATTAGATATAAACTGATTGGCCCATTAGCTCAGGCTTATTATTAACTCATAACTTATATTAGCCCATTATTCTTATCTATGTTAGCCACATGGCTTGGTACCTTTTTCAGCAGGGCAGGTCACATCTTCCTTCTTAGGTGTCTGGGCAGGACTGCGGAGGAATAGGCTTCCTCCTTCCCAGAATTCTCTTGTTCTCATTGACCCACCTCTACTGGTTGTCCTGCCTGTACTTCCTGCCTGGCTACTGGCCAATCAGCATTTATTTAAAACATAATTGACAGAATATAGACAATCGTCCCACACCAAACCTGATCTACATAGCAGTTTCCAGGACTGCTAGGGCTACATAGTGAGACCCTATCTCCAAAAAGAAAAAGAAAAAAAAAATGCTATTCTTACAGTTCAATTCCCAGCACCCACATCTGGTGGCTAACACCTACCTGTAAGTCTAGCCCAGAGATCAGACACCATCTTCTGGCCTTCATGGGCACACACTTGTGCATGTGTACACAAACATGCACACATGCACACTAAAAAAAAGTCTGTCCAAAGGGTGTGCTCTCTATTTTGGTGGAACCAGACAAAACAACAAAAGCAGAGAGCGTTGTGTTTCCGGGCAGCGTATAGTGTTTCTTCAAGCATCTCAACCCACTGAGGAGAGCTTCTCCCTCTGTCCTTTCTGTGCCCTTCAGAACCAGGAGAGGAAGCACAGGACGTATGTGTATGTGCTCGTTGTCACGGAAGTGCTGGAAGACTGGGAAGACTCAGTGAACATTGGTAAGTCACGACAGGACTCGAGGCAGCTCCCACACCAGCCCATTATGTCCAGGCACCTGCTGGAGTGGCATGCTAAATGAATAAGCACGTCCCTCTTATTGCTGAGGAAGTTAACATTTGAGGTGTTAAAAAGGTGTCTAAAAAGAAGGTGAGACCGGGCGAGGGTGGCATACACCTTTAATCTCAGCTCTCGGGAGGCAGAGGCATGAAGGTGTCTGAGTCCGAGCAGGCTAGTCTATAGAGTGGAAAATGAAGAAGCTGATTTGGGAATAGGGTCAACAAGTGGGAACATGGGCCAACAATTTATAAATGTTTCTAAAATAAAGTTGGATCCTCCCCAAAGGGGGGTAATACCTTTTGAGCAGATACTGCCCTGGGGCCTCTGCCATCAGGACCAAAGATGAGAGCAGGATGCAATCTTGTCTTAGGTTCTTATCATACCTTGGGCTGGGGGTACAGGAGCAGAGGGCCTGCTTAGCTTGTGTGTTGTGTGCCTGTCCTTGCCACTCAGCCTGGCAGGAGCCACACCCAGGTTTTAAGGCACCATTTGCTTGTTAATACCCAGACAACCCTTTTCCTAGCGTCTTAGCTTGCTCAGTATTAACTCCAGTGAGTCATCTAAAGCACAAGGCAGGAGCAATGGGGCTTCTCTCGATGTAGCCTGGGTACACTTATTACTTATTTTAAGATTTATTATTATGGGGGGCTGGAGAGGTGGCTCAGCGGTTAAGAGCATTGCCTGCTCTTCCAAAGGTCCTGAGTTCGATTCCCAGCAACCACATGGTGGCTCACAACCATCTGTAACGAGGTCTGGTGCCCTCTTCTGGCCTGCAGATATACACACTGACAGAATATTGTATACATAATAAATTAATATTTAAAAAATAAGATTTAGTATTATGTATGCAGCGTTCTGTTTGCATGTATGCCTGCAGGCCAAAAGAGGGCACCAGATCCCATTATAGATGGCTGTGAACCACCATGTGGTTGCTGGGATTTGAACTCAGGACCTATGGAAGAACAGCCATTGCTCTTAACAACTGAGCCACCTCTCCATCCCCCCAGTGCACTTACTTCTGACCTTCCTGCCCAGCCACTCAAATGCTGAAGGTACACCTGTGTACCATCCCACCCAGCTCCCTGTTACTCTGGTAGTGAAAATTTGGGTCTTTGTGTAGATCATGAGAGAACAAAGCTTTTGGAATGTTAAACATCTTCATGGTGCTGTTGCGTGGGAAAGTGGCTAGTGCCGCAGAAGTCAGGGCATAACAAGAGAAGTAGACAGTAGATGTCCAGTAGATGTCGAGGCTCCCACTGTGTCACCGGTCTGAGAAAATAAGTAAACATATTAATGGCAGTGATAGAGTGAGGCTAGGATTGTGGCTGTGTAGTAGAGCGCCAGCCTCGTGTGCAGAGGTCCTGGGTCTTCTCCATGCCCCAAGTGGAGAAATAATAATTTCTTTAATAAAAGAAGGCTCGAAGCAGTAATTTGTTAAGTTTGATTGTTCTTTTTGTTGTTTCTATTTTTGTGCTTTCTTTTTTCTAATAGTTTGTGTGTTGTCTGCACACATGAGTGCAGTCTTTGTTTTTTCCTCCTGAGACAGGGTTTCTCTGTAACAGTCCTGGCTGTTCAGGAACCAGCTCCGTAGACCAGGCTGGCCTCAAACTCCCAGAGATCTGCCTGCCTGGGTGTGTGCCACCACTGCCTGCTGTGTGGATGCACTCTTGCCATGGCATGCACATGGAGTCAGAACAGCTCTACGGAACCTG